AGGGCGAGGCTCAGCCATTGCACTCCGGTTGTGCTGACCCCTGCGAATTCCCCAAATGTGGGAATCTCGACTGCATAATTTCTGGTAGTGGGGGACTGCGTTCGCGCTCTCCCCTGATCTTCTGGTTAAAAATAGAATTATTCTTGTAGTCTCACAGTAATTGTGTCCGAGTTTGTTTTGTGCAGGTGGTGTTTATAAAAGATGCATTTTCTCTTCAATCCTGAAAGCACAAATGCTAAATATGTCCAGGCTTAATACACTATTTATTTATTTTTTATTTTTTTTAGAAGAATAATATGTTGTAATTTTAAAATACATTATACAATAAACAAAAATAAAACGATGAATTTTAATCGGATGAGATTTAAATATTTAACAGAACTTCAGTGAATCGTAAGAATAATTTGTTGCTGGTTCAATAGGTGGTGATGGGTTACTCTTACTTTTGAGTTTCAGAGATGGTTAATAAATGAGACATGTTCCAGGCTTTTATCTTTGATTTTCAGAGTGCAGATATTTTGCTGGCCAATAGGGCGGTCAAAAAAAAAATCTAATTTCGAATATTTGTCGAAATTAAAATAAAAATCCACATTCGAATGCAAAAACGTTACATTTGATTTTTCGGTGTGCGTTAAGGTGCCGTTTACAAGTCGCGCCTAAAAACGCTGGAAAATGCTAGCCGCGCCGCTTTCCAAAGCGCTGCTGTTGCTAAGCAACCATGACCTGCGCTCTTCATGACGACGCGTAAGTTTCAGCAAAGGAAATGTATTTCCAGCACTGAAAATCGCTTGCAGTAGCTCTGCTACTAAATTTATTTTAAAATGGCTATCCCTGTACAGCTATGATCAGCCATTCCTCCATCTTGGCTAAGCTTTGTTATTAGCGCGCATGCCGCGCGTCTACATTTGAAATAACGAACTTGAGCTTGCAAAAGACGCGATATGTGAATGGCCCCTAACGCCGAGTACACACTGCACGATTTTCAAACTCGTTGGATCGCCGTTGTTTTCACACTGCATGACTATCTGGGATAGCATTCAGTTGCTGCTGTGTTCACATTGCACAATGGATCCACGACGGGGTTTCACATAGCATGACTTCACAATAGGAAGACTCGCTGACAGCTCTGCCTGGTCCGCAAACTACGTTTCACAACAAAACACAAGCGAGAAGTGATAAGGAAATAACGCAAGAACACGCGTGTGTCAGACCTAAGTTCTCCAGCGAGACTGTAATTATTTAAAAACAAAATATATAATTTGTAAAAATATATAAATAAAAATATATTTGTTCAGCTGATAAAAGACTACCTTTTCAATAATCTTTCCTATAAAAGGAAGATTTGATATGGGTCTATAGTTGCTCAATATGGTGTTATCAAGATTGCTCTTTTTCAGAAGGGGTTGAAATGACTGTACTGACCAAATGACACTTGCTTGCATTGATTGACATCTTTAAATAGAGCAGCTACACCTGCACCTCTCCTAACAGTCCTGCAAACTCTCATGAAAGTAAAGTTAGGAGGGGCTGTTTCATTGAGGACCATTGCACTTCAGCTGTCTTCTAGCCATGTTTCGTTTAGAAACATAAAATCCAGGTTGTTTGTGGTTAAGTCGTTGATTAGAAATGATTTATTTTTTAGTGAGTGAATGTTTAAAAATGCTAACTTGATGGCATTGCATTTTGTCTCAACAGCAATATTACTTTGATGCATAACAGGCCGCATATTAGATGAGTCAGCCGTACGGCTTGAGAAGGCCTTAGACTTTCTATCACGTGATAAAACAGAAATAGAGAAAACTACAGGCACACTGGGTTCCCGCTTGTTCTGTAAACATTTGTGAATGTTGCTGCTCTTATAGCGGGGACCCGACACATATCACTGAGAGCTGCTATCAGTTATTTTTGGTTCACCTACAGCAAATGGAGGGTTTGGGCCCTGGCGTCGTGGCAGCGGCCACTTGTGGGATGTGTCAACCACATGATGAAGGAAGCTGATATGAAGCAACCTGAGCGGTGTGACAGCGGCTGCGGATGCCATATGCCCCAGGAGCCTCTGAAACTGTTTCAGTGGAACCGCCGTCTTGCGCTGGAAGGACCCCGGGCAGTTCAACATCGACTGGGCACGCTCTACTGAGAGACGTGCTGAGAGGTTGACCGAGTACCCGCAGTGGGGCAGCGGAGTTGAACACAGGGACCCAACCCGGGAGGCTGTGCGTCCCAGGGTGGGGTCTGAGTGCGCAGCGCGCCACTTACCTGGTTCCACAGCTGGGCAGGGGGCTCGCGAGGAGCCATAGCGTCCCTGAACTGGACCCTGCTGCCCATAGGCGAAAGGAGAGGGGGACGGCCGTGTGGAGACTGGGTCTCGTGCACTGCCATCCTCTCCCTCTTGGGACCCGGAGGCCAAGGAAACTGCTCTTTTGTTGAAGTTTTGGGTACCACTGGCTGGGTAGCCAGTGGCGGAACAGAAACAAACGGGAACAAAAGATTTTCCACCCAGCCCTTCTCCGGGGGAAGGAGTGGTGTGGTCACCATCTCCTGAAGAGCAGGATCCAAGAGCTCCGGGTCGCCCGTCTCAGGGACGCCGCCTGTCCTGGCGCTTCACGGGCTTAGCAGCCAGCGGAGGCGGGCTGCGCCGGTTTCCTGCGGCCAGCTCCACGCTGCGGCCGTTGTGAAGGCTGCTGTTGTGGCCACGCCGGAGCGGAGGTGGAGGCCGCAGGAGGGTGCCCTCGGCGACAAGCAGACAGAGGGGTTGCAGCCGGCGGTGGGGTGGAGACAGAAGCAGACCGCCGGGGCGGAGACAGAAGCAGACCGCCGGGGCAGGACATGTGGAAACGCCTCGTCGGCAAAGCCCTCCTCCGCTTCGCCGAATAGGCTGGCCTGGGAGATCGGGGAGTCCAGGAAACGATGCTTGTCGGCCTCCCTCATATCCGCCAAGGTCAGCCATAGGTGGCGCTCCTGGACCACCAATGTGGACATCGTCTGTCCCAGGGCCCGCGCAGTGACTTTCGTCGCCCTAAGCGTGAGGTCCGGCGCCATGCGCAGTTCCTGCAGCACACCTGGGTCAGCACCACCCTCGTGCAACTGCTTCGATGCCTTGGCCTGGTGGACTTGCAGGAGGGCCATGGCGTGCAGGGCGGAAGCGGCCTGTCCAGCAGCACTGTAAGCCTGTGCAGTCAGCGCGGACGAGAACTTACAGGCCCTGGACGGAAGGCGTGGACTACCTCTCCAGGCAGCGGCGCTTTGCGGGCAGAGCTGCATAGCAATAGCGTGCTCGAATGGGGGAATGTCCACATACACTTGGGCCGCCCCACCGTCGAGGGTGGTGAGGACGGAGGAGGCACCAAGTCCGTTTCGGGCAGAAAAAGGTGCCTTCCAAGACTTAGTAGCCTCCTCATGCACTTCCGGGAAGAACGGAACCGGAGGCGGCTGCCGATGCCTGGCCTGCGCCCCCAGGAACCAATCATCCAGCCTCGAGCATTCAGGAGAAGGAGGAGGCCTTCAGTGCAGCCCGACACTCTCGGCGGCCCGGGAAAGCATAGCGGTCAGCTCTGGATCTGACTCGGGCAACGCCACTCTTCCTGACGGAGGCAGCGCAGCCGAATCCTCATCTCCAGAGTCTAGCTCGCCCTCCGATGCAGCGATCGACATCCTGTCATCCGCCTGTGCTTCGCACAAGATGCTGGACCCCGCCCTGTCCGAGGACCCAGCACACTCGTCTGGGAACACCAGGTGGTGCGACATGCCAGATGAATGAGAGGCCCGCGGGGATGTACTTGACGGGGAAGCTCTCACTGTGATCCTCAGGTCTCCCTGACCATGAACCGAAGTAGCCCTCCGAGAACCTAAGCCCAGGCACGAGACGCAGCGATCATGACCATCAGATGAAGCCAGGAAGCGACCACATCCAGAAAAGCAAGAGCGGGAAGCCATCTCTAAAAAGATGCCTGTCGCTCATGAAGCTCTTTTAGAAATTGTCTATTTTGTGAGAAGGAAAAACACTCTTTTAGAGAGAGCGCTGAAGTGCCCAGGGGAGGTCGCGGCGAGACCGCAGAATGGCAGCTGCAGCACGCCGAAGATGAGCAGCACTGAATGGCAACCCCCGAGCGCTGAAGTGCCCAGGGGAGGTCGCGGCACGCCCGCAGAATGGCAGCTGCAGCTCGCCGAGGTTTCAGCAGCCTGGATGGCAACCCCCGCTAACACGCAGTAACACCAATGCTAGCTGTTTCTTCCAAACACTCGCGGAGATTTGTTCTGAGAAGGCTCGGCTCCGAAGTGAAAAGCTGATGTGCGTTTGCACGCGCTCTCCTTTTATACCCGCAGGGCAGGGTGCGCGTGGCGAAACACGCACGCCAACTGTCATTGGCTTGTTTAGTTTACACTCGAAGGTGATTGGGCTCTCGGGCGAGATCCCCAATTCGTCAGTCACGACTGACGTAACGTAGAACGTGACTGACTGAAAGGGAATCAGAATTACACCCGAGACCTGTGATTGGTTCAGATTTACAATATGATTGGTAGTCTTCAGTTTGTGGGCCGATCAGAAGGCCAAACTGACTAAATCAGACAGCCCAGCGTCTCTGGCCTCTGATTGGTAGTCTACGGTGGCTGTAGACTTTGGGCCATCCGATGGCGTAAAAGTCTACAGACACTGTAGACATTGCACACGACCGTTGAAACAACTGGGGGCAAAATTATTCATAGTGGGTTTCTGCATTTGCACTCTCCCCTGGTCTTTTGTTTTTATAGTTTCTGCGATTTCCGCATATGTGTGTGAAGATCAATTTCAGCTAAAAGCGCATTCAAATTATTGCAATGCAGTTTTACCACCACCCCCATTGTTATTATGATAATTATTTGTAGTAGTATTATCGGTTTTTACAAATTCTTGTTTAACACTTTATGAACTTGCATAATTATGCCTTTATATTTCTCATTCTATGTTCTAGCACTAGAGGGGGCTGTGTGTATTTTTTCTTCTTAGCGCAAGCTGACGTTTTTTCTGTTTTGTGTACTGTGTTAGTTGTTTTGTGCAACTAATGCACCAGTTGCACCCCCTAAGGACAGCCGTGACTGTAAGTATATGATTCATTCTGAAAATGTTTTAACTCGTATACCATGTTATCTTTGAAAGCTGGAGGGATAACTCATTATCCATAAATTGTAGTTGAGCAGCTTGGTTGTGTTTGGCCTTAGCGTGGACGCTGTCATAACATTTGTAGTATCTCTTCTGACACACTGCCATTTTGTCTTTAAATAATTTGTATTTTGTCTAAATAAATCTTGTACAAAATTAGGAGAGCAGCCCATCAGTTCTGTGAAATCACAGTATTTAATGATTTGTATTTAATGTAACATATTTAAAGAAACTGAAAATACACTGATATAAGAAAAAATTTAACAATATTTTTGACAATGTCTTAAGAAAAATGTGCTGATTATTTTATAAGGCGACATCATTTTTGGATATATGAGTTTGATTATTTCATAAATGTCAAGTACTGAAATTGACTCATTTAAATGGATTGTGCTATAACAGATGCATTAAATATATAGCATCAGAAATTGACAAACATGCTGTATTTGGCTTTAAAATATGTAAATAAGTTATCTTGGCTACCTTTGTCTGTCGTAAAGGTTTAAATATTTTTATGTGGGGATTTTATGGTCTATAGTGTGTAGTGTTCTTAAACAACATTCCATATCTCCAGTACAACAGAAGTATAGTCCTTCCCTCTACACCCACACTTTCCCCTTCCCTTCTCCTTTCCCAGATTGCTGTCCACAGCAGCCCCCTGTCAAGCCACGGTGCTGGGTAGCTGGAAGGTTCTTGTAGACGGCACGACTGTACGGAATAAAACACAGACCCAGCTGAAGGTGACGAGCAAGCCGGCAGTATGCAGCTAAGGCCAGAACCAGGAGTGGAGTCACTAGCAAGAAACCCACAACCAGCAGAGCTACACATCCACCATCAGTCAGTAGATCCGAACAGTACAGTGATGAACCCTGTGACCGCACCTGAAAAGAGAGACATTTGACTGATGTGGACCTGTGTGGGGTAAAGGATGAGTGGTGGAATGCATGTAGGTGTAGCTGAGGAGGGTCAAAGAGAAATTAAGTGTCCCTGGACGAATGCATCTCTGAGGTGTGGACAGACAAAGAACACAGACACTGGACAAGAATGTCTGCTAACAGCATATATGCTCGTTTTCTTTAGTGGGTTGATCGTTTGTTACTTCTAAGGTAGTGTTTTTTTATTTCAAATTTTTATTATTATATGACGGAAATACCACTGTTGGACTGATTCACTAAAACCTCTGAATATCACCATTGCTTTGTAAAAAAATTCCTAGCAAAAGTATTGCTAAAATTTGCAAACATTAATATTGGAAGTGCAGTTGACATTGTGACATTGTTTGACATGTATATAAGCTTCTAAAGATTTTTTCTCTCTTTGAGCTTCTCTGTGCCTGGTTCATTAGCAAAATTCTGCATCAGTCTGCCTGAAGCTACAATAATGGTATATGCACAGAGACTTCAAATATATATTATTCTTCATTTTAGTTCTTTTGGTTAAGTGCCATTGCACATGATGAAAAGAACTGAAGCATAAAAAGACCCCCACATTCTTCATCTATCCACTTTAAGTTTGAGGGATGGAGAGCAATAGGCAGGAAAAAAGGGTGACTGAGTAAACCTAGAGTAGGAGGTAGAAAACTGAAAAAGCCCATCTGCATTTTAAGCTGCACTTTCTCACTCTGACAGGTTTCTTCACTCAAAGAGATGCTTGTAAAAATCACATCCATACAGTTTTTGATCACAACAACAACGTTTGTCAGGCATCTACATTGTCATCTGAGGAGATTACAAAGATTAAACAAGTGTTTTTTTAAAACTCTAAAACATGACATTTTTTGAAAATGAACTCTTCATATATATATATATATATATATATATATATATATATATATATATATATATATATATATATATATAGGTTAGAAATGTTGTATTTATTGTGAAGTAAATAATTATTGTGATTGTTTTTATCAGCTGTTTAAACTCTCATTCTGACGGCACCCATTCACTGCAGAGGATCCATTTGTGAGCAAGTGATGTAGTGCTGAATTTCTTCAAATCTGTTTAGATGAAGAAACAAGCTCATCTTCATCTTGGATGGCCTGAGGGTGAGTAAATCTTCTCAAAGCTAGAAATCAGCCACAGTTCTTTTTCAGCATGTCTCTAAAGTATGAGGGATTCCAGTTGTCTGTAGAACTGGCATGTGTGCTGATAAGATTAGAGCTGAATGGAGTAGTTTCAGGGAACTGGCCTTGATGTTGACCAGGGGCGATTCTAGAATCGTACATTTTAATTTTATTATTATTCAGTAAGGGTATAATAATAATAATAATAATAATAGCCTAATAATAAAAATATATAAATCAAATTTTTTTATTAATCGGGGTCGTATACTAAACTTATTGCAGTATTCCACTGTATTGCATAGATAGGTATAACATTTGAGTACTGAATAAGCCAAATTTAAGTCTTCATGATCTCACACACATAACCTGTTTACTGTACAAACACAAAATTTTACTGTTTGCATTTCTAGTACAACCCTCTTTCCTTAGCTCAAGTATGCAAACCTCTTTGCCACATGCACTGGAACATGTATTATATTGAAAGTTACACTTTCAAATGAAAATTGCAACATGATCGTTTTATAAATTATGCGTTCATATGTGCTTAATTTTCGCTGGAGGAAACGGCTGTGGTGTGATGAGGGGTGAACGCAGCGAAAACTTAGGCTACAGTAGATGGGAGACCAACAGATTATTGCTCCCATGATATTTTGTAAACTGGATTTATGACAAAGAACTGCACTGATACAATCTATCGACAAACACGCCTTGTCCGTTTCTCGCTCTGCACCGTCGCGGTCTTCGGATTGAAAAAAACGCGCTGAAAGATGGGGAGGAGCTAAAGTCTGCTGCCGTTTTCATATGAAATTTAAAGGAGACTGAGGCCATCACGAATTCGTGTACAGTTTATGGAGCTAATCGCAAAATTTTAGGTGGGCTGAGTAGTCATTACTATAGTAGTCATGCTATAGCCCCCCTAAAAATGGCCTAGCGACGCCCGCGCTGTTGACCATATGTTTAGAAAGGATCCAACACCTACAGAGAAATGCGGTCAGTCTTTTAGATATGGTCTTAAATTATGCACATTTATTCATTGGTTGGAATTAATGTTTATAAATTATCCTATTATGTGCCTTGACAGAAACCTGAGTAGTTAACTTCTTATATGAAACTGCAAACTCTTTACTCCATGGTTTAACACCATGGTGGTCTGTTGCTCCTTACAGATCTTTGGATTTACCTCTCTTTCATAGACTGTCTGGTGTCACATGGGGACTAATTGGTCCGAGTGACTATTGATCTTGGATCTTAAAGGTCTGGTAAATGGAGAGGTCAGAAGAATTCAGCCTTTATTTACACGCATTGACCCTTACAGACCCATGGGTGCTCTGTGAAGATAATTTAAGCATTTTTCTTCTAGCAAGAGATGAAGAGCATGTAATAGTGAGATGCAGGGTCTGTATCTTGCAGAAACTTGTCTGTTAATTCTGTAGTAGAGTTTGAGAGAGAGTCTTTTTTTGAAAATGAACAGAGCTGGTACAGTGGAGAAGCAGTAGATCTACTCTTCTGTGGGTCAAAGTGCAAGAATGTTGAGGGCGGTCACTATACGACATTGTGAGGGAAAAAGTTTTTTTAAACTCCAGTAATCCACTTCTGTCCTGAAAACACTCCTCGCCTGATGTCATCCTCCCAACTCCTGACCTGCCCCTACTGCTGCACTCAGACTGCTGAGAAATGCCCAAAATGAAGAGATGAATCTTGATGAATCAAAGAGAAACAGAGGCCAAACTCCCATAAATCCCTAGAAGAATATCTCTGAATCATGATTAGCTTTTATTCTTTCCCAGTCTTTTTCCCAGATTAAAAATGACATTCTTTTAGCAGCTACATTGTCTCGGGGACCAAATTTTCAATACGTTTTAAGCATCAATGACTGTTTTTAAATTGATTTTATTGACCCAAAATCTAAATATAAAAGTTGCGTAGCTTTTGCTGTGAAGGCTCCATTATTAAGCAATAGTCTTCCCATTGACATTAGATCTGCAAAAACTCAAATCTCATTTAAAAACTCATTTGGATAGATTTAGTTTTATTACTTTTGAAGTTTTGTCATTATCTTTTGATTTAAGTGTTGTCATTATTATTATTATTATTATTATTATTATTATTAAATTATTTATTAAATGAACTCTCTCCACTTTCCATCCTAAATACTGGTTGTGTGTCATATATTTAATATGCAGTTTGTATATTACATAGTAAATTGCTCCAAAGGTAATAAATATACAGAGTAAAGTTTAATGTATGTGTAAAATGACTAAGAAAAATTAGTTTTTTTTATTTCATTTAGTTCACTATTCTTACAAAAATCCTCAACCTGGTTTATTTACTTAAATCATATACATAATGAATTCAAATGATCATATATAACATAATATAATAATAAATTATCAAATAATTTGTTTTCTGTAAGTCCACCCTCTGACCCGTAGAATAAAACCGCTTTTATTTTGCTACCGTGGACCTACATAAATGTCCTCTTCACATGAGAAATGAAAAACTTTGAGCTGCATGTTTACTGTCGTATCCAAACTCATTTTCTCACTTCCTTCAAAAACAGCTTTTTCATAAATTGTGTGTATTGTATGTTATTTTGTATGTTGTGACCAGTTTGGTGGACTTCTCCCAGTTCTTACCGTTGAATGACAGATGAAGCCGAACACCACCATGACAATAGCAGGAGTGAGGATGAGCCCGAAAACCAACCCGGCCAGGCACGCGTTGATGGCTGCGATCACCAGGTTCTGCGCTGTCACAAGCACTGAACAGGCCCAGCAGTCCAGAGAGCCCCGGAGCTCCAGCGGAGCTTCACCTCCCCCAGCCTTTGCAGCAGAGTAAGGTGGCGGCACAACCACTCCAGACCCACCTACTGGGGTCCCGGCTTGCACAGTAAAGGCCAAGGAGTTTGTGTGTTGGAGACTAGTGTGATTGTCATGGTGATGGTGATGATGGCTGTTGGTTGGGAGCTGTTCAGAGAGGTCGAGGGCCTGGTGATGAGCCCCCTTCTCCAGTGTGCCACTCATGCTCATCCTGATCTGAAAGTGATAGAGAATGAAGGACTTTATTAATTACTTCTTTTTAAATTGTGAAAGGATAGCAGAAACATTTAGACCTTTTTTAAGCTTGAAAAATGTTTTTAAATCTTAAGTCAAGCCTCCCTTTAATGGTGAATTGCTCAAATTTGGAAGTGGCCATAGATGGAGCTTCAGTTCCCATCTTTCACCTCAGCCCTCTTAAATTCTGAGATTAAAATCTATTTAGCTGTCAACACTCTGAAAAATTTGAAAACAGACACTCTGAAACCAGTGGCTGCTCTAAGCTGTATGGGGTTAATTTAACTCTGAATCCTCTTCAGCAGTTATTTAAAAAACCTAGAAAATGTATTACATTAAATATTGTCAGCAGTGGATGCGGTGACTTTGACATCTGCTTTGGACCATTTTCTAACTGCTTCAAAAAAGTTCAGAGCAAGGTTAAATCACTTATCGCCAGGAAACTAGGTCTGTGATCTTTTAATTAGGTCTTTTATCAGCGACTGATTGTTATCTGAAAGCTAACTGGCCCTTTGGAGGAAATTAATTGGTATGCGAGTGTGTTTGGAACAACATTGGTGATACGATCAAGTGCTGAATAGTGAGAGGCCTCGACATTGCAGTAACCCTCACCTCTGGGGATTTCATCACTTTTGCCTCCAATATATATATATATATATATATATATATATATATATATTTTTTTTTTTAAATCATGTATTGGTGAATCTCACAAAGAACATGTCTAGGTGTCACATTTCACCCCAAATAAATTATATTGTTAGTAAATAAAATTAAGCTCAACTATTAATTCAAGGTGTTGTTTATTTGTTCTGTCTTTAACTTTGGAAAAATTCCTTAAAATAAAGTATTAAAAAAGCACCCTCCCCCAATCACTGTAGTGTTTCACTTTTAAATTGGTTTGAAATTTTCATTTAGCATAAATTTTAAAGTTTATTGTAAAATAGTAATGCAAGTCATCCTGTCAGGATGCAATGATTGTTAGAAAAATAAACATGGGATCCCTCAAGCATAAATTAAGGGTGGTACAACAAATGCTACTATGATGTATAAATACTTTTATTTATATTTTTTTCTTTCTTTCAGGTTGTCAGCTCCAGTAAACTGTGGAGGGCTACCCCTCTTCATTGCCTAGACTATTAGACTGACCATCCAGACAGGACTCCAGAACAATAGACCGAGGTCAAACTACATAAATACTTAACACGCCATACAGCTGTGGCCACAGTGCCATATGCAAAACATCTAAAAATGGATGCAGGATGGTCTATGTCTCTCTCACACACTAACACACACACACACACACGCATGCATGCGCACTCACCCTTAAACACTAGATCCTGAATATGCCATCAGTGATGAGGGAGACGTGCACACGTTTCTGCGCTTGCTGACCGTTGTGTTGCCTTCCTGCCTTTGTATTCTGTTTGTTAGTGCATATACAGCAGGTGACTCAACATATAACACTAGATCACCACTCACAGGAAACGTGAACACAAGCGCACAGCACACCATGCCAAACCTGGATAACACCAGACTGCTCCACCCGCTAACTCGGTTTCCACATTTCTGGGAATCACACAATTGAGAATTAACTTGGAGCCAAAACATTGGGGCTATATAACCTAGATGCAACCATTTTTATGCATGCATAAAGCTGAAATTAACCTAATTCATACTCTAAACCCATTCATTAAAAAAATTTTATTAAACAAAACAATTTTATAGGTTCAAGGTGGAATGGGTTTTACTTTTCTATTTCCATTAGAAGGTCTGATGTGGCTTCAGTACTTTATTATTCAAATTGATTTATGATATTT